TCGAGCGACGAATAAATTACTATATATCGATTTAACATAGCTATTATTTCATTGTTTAAAAATTACATAGCGCTGTTAAAACGATATAAAATGGGCTGTTTTGTAATTACACTTTACATCTGATAAAACTTTTCTTGTTAATAATTTAAGAAGTAATTTACATAATCGCTTCAATTATTATTTAATTCCAGTTTAAGGTAATAATTTTGCGTTTATTCTCACGAATAGGCGGAATCTGGAAATAGTCTAGGCTTGTGCAATTGCTGTGTTTAAATTTTAGATGAATTTATATCGACACGATATCAAATTTGCCCTGAAATTATTGACTATCAACCACTTTCAGCTTATTAGAAACATGAAAGACACTTACTAATAAATTAAACAACAAAAGTTTAATGCACTAAAATGTATTAAAAAATTTATAAATAAACTATAGTTAATTAGTTTGTCAGTGACGTATTCTGCTTGATATATGTCAAGGCAGTATACGCTAAACAAGTATCGCTAGTAGCGCCACCACTCGGCTGTTATCATCGTAACAAAAGTAGAACTTTTAATAATCAGCTGCAGCTGACATGTCAAACGCTTAGGTTACAATTTGTAACTTACAAACGAGTGTTTTTGAGAATAAAGCCGGATAATGTTAAAAAATATCGAAAAAAAAACCGTGGATCGATTTGTTGTGTTGTTAGGTGTATTTCGAGAGGAAAAGAAGGGTTGAGTTTTTACCCGTTTTCCAAAAAACAGTGTTAATCTGAATGAAGAAATAAATTGCATACAGTCTCTGTAAATATAAATTGTACCTATTAGATACAATAAATACACATTTTATAGTAGTGATTATAACGTGAAAAGTGTAAACATTTCAATTCACTAAAAATCGTCAAACAAATAAGTCGTCTAAATTTAAACAACATTTAGCATTATTAAAAGCGTTGATTAAGAATTCTTTAGTCTCCACTCAACGGTAAAATACCATTATATTATGTATTATACATATTAGGCTGCTTCAAAAAAAAATTTTTTTCGCTCTTACCCTCTCAAATCTTTTTATATAATATAAAAAAAATCCTCACCAAATATGGGGGTTCCAGCCCAACTCTAAGAGGTCGCTGTTTTTATTTTAGTTTCCCATTGAATTAACATGGGAAAAAATTAATTTATGTTTGGAATTTTATACCTCTGTATCAAAGTAACTTATGGCAATGATCATTGATTTCTTCTAGAGTTATTCGAGGTCAAAGTTTTCCCCCTTTCACCTCCCATCTGCTAATTGTACCAGAAAATTTGATGTTAATCAAACTTTGACCTATATATGTATAATATTATGTTGCCATGAATTCGTATACATTTTAAACAACAAAATATACCTATAGGTATATTTTGTTGTTTAAAATGCAGTTGTCAAACTTAAATATAAGTTATATTAGGTAAAGTTATCATTAGTTAATTCTGCACCAACAAATGTACTTACCGAATTGGATCCTTTGGCAAAACATGAAAATTCAACGATTTAGTTTTTGAATTTTATTTACAATTAAAAACACAATAATTCACCATGATCCCTTTGTTAAAATACACACACTAACGTAACTGTATAAGCATTTAAGCGTTGACTTTCTTAATCAATGATATAAGGAATAATCAATCAAAATCGAGTAATAAAAAAGTTTTTTAATTTTTTCCTTGCAACGTAAAACACAAATAACGCGCGATTTAGCTGTGCAGTTGAACAAAATTTGTCGAGTAAGACTTCTGCCTTCCTCACTTTTGTAAAAAAACTACCTATATATTTAAAAATGATGTACCTATAATCGGGGCTTTAAATTTATTGTTGACAATTCTTAAATTCACGCAATGCATTCGAAGTCCACCAGATGGCGCGCGCGTTGCGAAATCCCGATACTTCTTTAGCGTATAGGTAAACCGCTATAAATTCATAATAAAACATATGTCAAACGTCAAACCTGACAAAATGTCTAAAACTCGATAATTTTAATGTAAGTACATACAACACGGCGGAGAAAGTATATTAACTACCCCGCTCAGATCTGCTAAGGCCCACCTGCTTAAAAGCACAAAAACATAAAAAGCTTAAAGCAAAAATTATCTCAAAACATAGCAGATTAACTGCTGCAAAAACGTAAAACCAACGTTAAAACGTTAAAAAAGGCGAAGTCATTAAAAATTACTTTTTCAATTATTCAGGCCGGTTTATATAAAGTAAATTACATTATAACAGGCTAATTCATTTATTAAACAGTTGAACGGGCATAATTGGACAGCAATTCTAGGAAAATCAAAATGGCTCCGAACGAGAAACAAAAGCAAAGAGGTTTACGAATAAAAAATGACAATTAATTCTTGAAACAAAACACTTGACTTGCTTTTACAAGTTGTGCCGCTCTAGTGAGATATAATTTTCATGAATGTTGGATAATTTTTAGGATCTATGTATATATTATTATTATTCAGGTTTTTATCTTTTTTATTATTTTTTTAAAGATTATTAAATAAATTTTAACGTTTAGGATTTTAAGGTATCTTTTATAAAATAAAAAAAGTTGTTTTCCTTGATTTTTGAATTTTTTTTATTTAGAGAATACATCCTGTTTTTATATGATCCCACTAATAAAAAAATTATATACATATAGAATTTATAATAATTTTTTATTATTATTATCTCAAAACATAGCAGATTAACTGCTGCAAAAACGTAAAACCAACGTTAAAACGTTAAAAAAGGCGAAGTCATTAAAAATTACTTTTTCAATTATTCAGGCCGGTTTATATAAAGTAAATTACATTATAACAGGCTAATTCATTTATTAAACAGTTGAACGGGCATAATTGGACAGCAATTCTAGGAAAATCAAAATGGCTCCGAACGAGAAACAAAAGCAAAGAGGTTTACGAATAAAAAATGACAATTAATTCTTGAAACAAAACACTTGACTTGCTTTTACAAGTTGTGCCGCTCTAGTGAGATTGCCCGCGCGGAATTTTCGAACAAGCCAGACCTCTGCAGAGGCGCGTCATTAATAGTTTATAAGTCTTTTCAATTAGAAAAGAAATAAGTATTAAAAATTAATATAGTATTAAAATAATTTTTAATAAAACAATGGGTATATTTTAGTATATTTTTAGGAATTTTATCTGGGTTAAAATGATTTAATAAAATCGAGAAGATCCTTTTCAATTACTTAGGTGGGGTACGTGTTGTGTTCTATTTCTGTTGTTTTACATTTTAATTAATAAATTTCACATTATTCTCTTTTAAAGCAGGAAATTTGAAACCATCATTTAAAATTAATTAATTTAAAAAAAAACTAGTTTTTGTATAGTATTAAACCCCAATAAAGTTTTATTTTTAATTTAAATGATAATTAAATTTTAAAATTAAAATACTAATTGTTATAATAAAAAACAGTTTAAATTAAATAAAAGAAAGTACAAAAAAATTATAAAGGATATAATTTTTGTTTTTTTTTCAGGTAAAAATTAAAAAAAATTTAATCCAAAATTTTAAATAATTTTCTTTGGATTTTTTCATTATATTTGGTAAAAATTTAAATTTTTTTAATCCAAAATTTTATATAATTTTCTTTGGATTTCTTCATTTCTTTATCTTTTTTTATTATTTTTAGGATTTTAAGTTACATATCTTATATATTTTTTTTATTTAGTGGGATCATACATAAAAACAGAAAATATATTCTCTAAATCAAAAGTCACGGAAAACAATTTTTTTAAAGATTTACATGGGTATTTTTATTTGATTTTTTAATATTTTCTTTAATAATTTTTTAAGTAAATTTTTGGAATCTTTTTAGCTATAATTATAATTATTCAGGTTTTTTAAATTATTAAAATATTTAATAGGAAGCATAAAAAAAATATAATATATTTTTTTTAATCCACAATTTTTTATAATTTTCATGAATGTTGGATAATTTTTAGGATCTATGTATATATTATTATTATTCAGGTTTTTATCTTTTTTATTATTTTTTTAAAGATTATTAAATAAATTTTAACGTTTAGGATTTTAAGGTATCTTTTATAAAATAAAAAAAGTTGTTTTCCTTGATTTTTGAATTTTTTTTATTTAGAGAATACATCCTGTTTTTATATGATCCCACTAATAAAAAAATTATATACATATAGAATTTATAATAATTTTTTTTATTAGTGGGATCATATAAAAACAGGATGTAGGTATTCTCTAAATCAAAAAAAATCAAAAATCAAGGAAAGATTTAAGATTTATTTTGATTTTGATTTTTTAATATTTCCTCTAACTATTTTTTTATAATTTTCTTTAGATTTTTTGTTAGGAAATGTTTGGGATCTTTGTATTATTATAATTATTCAAGTTTTTATTACTTTTTTAAGATTTTCAAATAAATTTTGACGTTTTTATGTATTTAAGATATTCTATGTATATCTATGTGAGTTTTCCACAAGTACTTAAAGGTTTTATTAAATACATACATATGTACATATTTATCGTTTTTTTTATCATAATCGTTGTCGTACGATTATTGGATAAAAATCGTAGCCGTTATTCTAATCGTATTCATTTCATCACTTGTTTTTCGATAAGTAATTTTTAGAATTTTTTTTGTTTTTTTTAATAGTACATAAATATGTATTTTTTATGATTTTTAAATGTTTTCCATATCGTTTTTTTTATTAGAAGAATTTATTTATGCAACATTTTATATAATATTATTTTCAAAATTATTAAAATAATTTTGTTTAAACATTTAATACTAATTCCACGGGCAAGCTCAGTAGACAAACCCATCGAAACCGCTTACTTGATCTCCGAAAAAAAATTAACAGAAAGATATTCAATTTGTCGGGGAATCAGTTTAATCCAATGGGAATGGTCTCGGGGAGGGGCCACGAAACACAATCTGCCCAATCACCGCCGGCCGTTTAACTTCGCCGGCGATGCCATGGCAACCGCTAACTCACCCACTGCCAGTGTTCCACCGACTACTCGACTGAAACAATACAAAGCCACCTCGATTGTTTGTGTCATCATCACGTGGTTCAGTGGAGAAGACTCTTTAAATTAAAAGACGTAATGACATGAACTTTTAGTGTTGCAGTGCTAAGTTTCGGTGTTCTATAAACTATATCATCATGTCTGATCGCGATTTGAACGAGGACATGTCGGACCATGAAATAAACGTTCTGGACACGGACAGTAGGCTGTCACACAGTGACAGTGAAGCTCGATCGCATTGCTCAAGTCCTGAAAACGGCACCACATCGCACAGCTCAACCAACACAACTCTACCGTTCAGTATTTCGAATCTCCTCGGTAAAAACTTCGAGCAAAAGCCGGAAGCCGACGTGGCGTCGCTGTATCAAACGCATCCGCACATTTTCCAACAGAGGAACCCGCTGGGCCTGGTACCGTCGGGGTTCTATGGGCAAGGTGTGCTAAGGGTGCCGGCGCACAGGCCGCTTGGAGGTCCTGGAAGTCCGAACGCCGTTTTTAACCCTTGGATAAGTCTCGATCCTGTGCTGCAAAGATCAGCTGCAGCGGCTGCGTTTGCGACTCAAGTTGTCAAGGATAGGTTAGCTGGTAAGTACCTACTGTTTGGGAATTTGTATCTTAGTTTGCCTTATTGAGCTAAAATTAGGGCTCTTTAGAAACCTAATTGTGTGACAAAGTAGAATTTGCATATCTCCTCTGTCATAAGGAACCAATTGAAGGGGTCAATGCAAGAAGTGCCTTAGTCACAAATAGGTGATTCTGAGATATTGCGGTTTGAAGGTTTATTTTTGATTATGAAATATTATAATAAAAATGTGTGTTGTATTGATATCTTTGTGAAAAGTGGATTGGACTTCCATGATGAAAAAAGAAACAACATTTTGTTACACTGTTCAAAATTTCATGACCATTTTAACACCAAATTAACACCATACATGGTCTATATCGATACAAACCAAAATGGTGTTAAATATGGTTCGTTGGTCCAGTGTAAATTCAAATACTAAAATGGTGTAAATTTAACTTTCACACAGTATTAAAATAAATTTTGACTGGTGTAAATGAACTCTTTTTCAGTGTTAAATATAATGTGTTTTTGGTCAAATTAAATCATACTACACAGAAAAAAAGGAAACAGGAAGTTCCTTGACGCATTACAAGTATATTACCAGTGGTATAATTCCAGAAAATTGAACCTTCAACTCGCTAGAGATAATGTTTTTAGTGCGTTCCACCAACATAAAATACTTCTCTTTAGTATCGAACAACTTGTAGTGTCACACCAAAGCAAAGGACTACCTGAGCTTATATACTTTTCATGTAAGTCAACAGAGGCGAGATTTAAGAACATCACGTGATCCACACCGCCTTTGCCGCGATCGGTACCATACAGCGGGTTGGTTTCACTAAAGTTTTCTGGGTTAATTTAACCAATAAAAAAAAAAAAAATAACTATCTGGTTTAGTACCGTCAAACTAATCTTTGTTTATAATAACCTTCCCACAGTTGATTTAAATAAATACTTATGGGTCAACTAAATTAATATAGTTAAATGAACTATTCCTTTTTTTCTGTAGGTGCACTTCTCAAATATTTTTAGATAAACACCGTTTTGGTGTTTGCTGTATAAAACATTTTCAACCATATATGGTTGAAAATGTTGAATTATAATTCATGGTGTTGGATTTTGATACCATTTTAAGATTACTCTTCACACCACAGATATTTTAAACAGTGTATATAAAAAAATATATTTAAAATAATTTGGGACTTAAGCACTTTTTTTCTTAAAATTTTTTTATTTTGTCAAAAATTAATGGATTTTCTGAGGAAAAATTTGTTAATAGTATTAACTTAATACTTAAAAAAAGGTTTATTATATTACACTGAGAGAAAAGAATATTTTTACCAAACGTTGCAATTGTTTGAGCATGATTGCTTTGAATCAAACAACTGAAATTTAATTCAAAATTAGTGTTTTTGCTTAGAATGGGTGAACTGCGTTGCCAGAAATGGATGATTCGTTTAGGCTGCTGTGTTTGCTTGGAATATTATTAAGTTCTATGCAAACTTTGTACTGATAGTCAATAATATTAGGTTTTTTACTTTTGAATTAAATTTAGGTGGGTTTTTATAAAACGTGCAATATTTTCCACTAAAATTTATTAATGGGTTAACTGAAATAGATAAAACTTATAATAAATCTGCTACAATTTTTGCGAAAACCTTAGCATTTGCAACAAATATAATAAGTTTGTGGCAAACATATCAAAGTTAATGGGCAATTGTACTTAGTTTGGAAAGCGCAATTTTTGGAGTGGGGGAACGCCTCTTGAAACGCGTCTTCTCGTGCACTTACAGTGTCTTATAAAGTTTTAAATTTGCCTCCACTGCTTTCATGAAAACATTTGGATGAAATGGCATAACGTTTAAGAATATTGTATAAATAGTCGGCCTTATCACGAAGTGGCCTAAACCACAAAATTGAAAACAGTGACATTTTGAGAGAGTTAACTTACGATATTCTAATACTCCACGAGGTGGGCCATAGTATAAAGTCTGTGCTGTAAAAATACATAGGCCATTTCGTGAGAATAGAATAGACCATCGTAAGTTAATCTGCGAAAAATCTCATTTTGTTTTTCAATTTTGTGGGTTAGGCGACTTCGTGATAAGGCCGACGATTTATACAATATTCTTAAGCATTATGGCGTTTCATCCAAAGAAACCGTAATTTCTTCAGAAATGCAGGTACGTTTAATGGAAATGAACTTTATTGGTAACAAGCAGATACCAATTTTTCATAAAGTTACTTGCCAAGAAATTCAAAATTAGTAAGTTTGAGTCAAACTAACATCGATTCATACAAAATCGACTATACTGGTAGCAAGCAATTACCAATTTATCAGAAAAGTATTCAACAAAGAATTCAAACTCAGCAAATTTGACACAAATCTACATGCGTTTCGTTCAAAAGCAGTTTTCCGGAAGCTCCAAAGTGATGGTTTTTTACCATTAAACCTTGGTACATTCCGCCGTATTTAAATATGTTATACGTTTGAAACAAACGTTATGCCTTTCGCTGAAATAAAACCTTCTCTCAGTGTATAACGCCGTAAAAAATATATAAATTGTGAACAAAACTTAAAACTGAGACATAACTAAGAAGGCTGACTATTCATAAACAGCGTCGACATCTTGTAACTGATCAATTTCTTTATCAATGACATCATTTTGCTGGATTATACAAAAAACGGTAACTGGTATGTTTAAAGGTTCCACAATCTATTTTATTTTACTTTACTTACCTGCCATAGTTATGTTTTTAATTACAGGCACAAATTATTAGGATTTACACAGTTTAATAGGTAATTTGCTCAGATATAACCTAATAACGTGGACTAAGGCACATGTTGCATTGCATCTGTCAAAATGATGACTTAGGTACTTCTTGCATTGAAAACCAGGTAAACTCCCATTGAAGTAAATGCAAACTAAGGCACTTAGACACATATTTCAGCCACTCTGCAAATGCCACCTGAAAGCTGAAGTGAACATTGAAAATGTGACTTAGGCACTTCTTGCAATGACCCCATCATTTTGTTAAATTGAAAAAATACCTTCAGAAACTTAGGTATAAGATGAACTTCTTTGGGTTTTGAACAGGTTGGTTAATTTTTCAGCCATATAATAATATTATATTATAATCCTATACAGACTCTATACAAAATGAAAAGTATATTTTAGTTTAATATCGTCAAAAATGAGAGTTATCTGCCTTTAATTCTACATCATTTCATTGCAATTATTATTTCTAGACTAAGTAAACTCAAAAACACTATGGTTTTATCAATGTCATGTAAAAATTGTAGACATTATAACTATTAATTTTATTTTTAAACATACATTATTGTTCAATTACTTTAAATTGTTTAGAATCTTTTTTAACGTTTCGTGTAATGATAGGTACCTACATATTTTTTACAATTTGTTCATTTACTTGTTGACAATTTTAATTGTTTTTAATTTAAATTACTTAAAATAATTGCAAAGAATCACAATGTAAGTTAAAATGACCTTCTATTCATTATATTAATTAAATTAATTATAATTTGTTTAACTTGTATACTATATGTACATGTATAACATACGACGATATGTATGGGGCAAAATTTACCAAGTGTACCAGGTGAAAAAATTTTTGTCACCGATTTTGTTTAAACTTTACTTATTTGTTGTTCTTATAACGAAGAATCATAGCATAATTTTTTTTTTGCTCTAGGATTGTTCATTCAAGAGTTATTGATTATTGAAATTTATCGATTTTTTACTTTTTGGTGAAATCGCTTTTTATTTAAAAATTCATAACTTCTGTTCATCTCTTTATTAAATATTTCAATTTAACCTCCTTAAATGATTTTTTCCGTACTTTTCAATGGGCTATACCGTTTTTGCAAACAAATAAAAATTGCAATTTTTTTTTTAAATTTTGCAAAATTTTGCATTTTTTAAAACAATGTGTATTTTTTAATTTTTTTAAAAATAGCATAAAATCCAAGTTTATTATGTTACCTTTGAATAAAAAAAAAATTTAGAGTGGGCCCGACATGTAGAAGGGAAGTTTTTCATATTTGAATGCCGCACGGTCTAGCCATCGAATAGCTACTACACTGCCGTATGCGTTTATACCTAGTGGATGCGAGTAAACGAATACAAAATGATAATTTAAAATGTAAAATTATGTTTGAGTAGTCAATGATGTATTTTAAATATTTACACTGCCGCACGATATAGTTTTTTAACTGTATTTTTTTGCACAAATTGTTTAAGCATGGGTCTACATAGATTTTGCAAGGAGGATCAATGATATTAAATAAAAAATTTATTGTTATAACCGTAACGGCTTGCCTATAAGCTGAATGGGGCCTTTACGGTTATAACAATACATTTTTTATCATCGACCTTCCTTGCGAAATCTATGTAGACCCATGCTTAAACAATTTGTGCAAAAAAAATACAGTTTATATACAAAAGTGCTCTTTTAGTTCCACCCTTACTTCATAAGAAGTCACATGAGCCAACTGAATGGCTTGTGCGGGTTAGGGGTAGGAACGGACCGCGGGCTTAAAGTCCCCTCCGAAGGACTAATACACAATAAGAAAACTATATCGTGCGGCAGTGTAAATATTTAAAATACATCATTGACTACTCAAACATAATTTTACATTTTAAATTATCATTTTGTATTCGTTTACTCGCATCTACTAGGTATAAACGCATACGGCAGTGTAGTAGCTATTCGATGGCTAGACCCGCACGCATTCAAATATGAAAAACTTCCCTTCTACATGTCGGGCCCACTCTAAATTTTTTTTTTATTCAAAGGTAACATAATAAACTTGGATTTTATGCTATTTAAAAAAAAATTAAAAAATACACATTGTTTCAAAAAATGCAAAATTTTGAAAAATTTCAAAAAAAAATTGCAATTTTTATTTTTTTGCAAAAACGGTATAGCCCATTGAAAAGTACGGAAAAAATCATTTAAGGTGGTTAAATTGAAATATTTAATAAAGAGATGAACAGAA